TGAGACTGGATTTGAGTTCAAGGCCAGTGCTCCATCCACTACACCACCTATCTGCCCCCTACTGGTTGATTTCTGGATGAGGAAATAGAAAATGGAAAAACCTTAGTCCTAATTCAGTTAGTTATTAAATACGAGAGAAATAATCATTTCTCTCAGAACCACTGAATGCTAGTCTCTCAAGAATTAAAGCTGAGAGCCACCAAAGGGCCATGGAGATAAGTCAGAAGTATGAGCAGCTTCTAGCAGATTACAAAGGAGTAACTATGCAGAAGAAGCTATATAAAAGATGCCATCACAAAAATGAATGAATGTTAAAAAGATGGTCAATCACTTCTCAAGAGTAAAAGATAATCAATAGACACCTTTCATAGGATCATGGGGACAAAATAATATATATTGATAGGTCATTCACTCCATCAATTGTATAGAAACTGAATCCTAGAGAGTAAACTGACTTGCTTAAAGTTACACAGGAATTGTGACATGAGGCATGTCTTCTATGTCTCAGTCCAGTATCCGGTGCTCCTGTCCTAAGCTCCCTCTCTACCATGTTCCATTGGGTATCCAAATAAGCTCAGACAATGAAAAGCACTGTTTTTTCCAACCCCCATCCCCGTTCTCCTATGTTGGAATTTTAGAATAGTGTGGACAAGGCTTGTCCAAGTTAGAAAGGCACAGATAGGTTGTTATCTGCCACAATGAAGGCAGCATCCACTACAATGACATCACAGTTCTACTGGGGTATTAGAATATGAAACTGAGCCTTCCACAAAAGTCTTAATGTGATTCCTTCTAGTCATGCAGAGGGGACCTTGAGTTCTTGAAGCCAATACAAGCAGAGTACAAATGCTACAAAGTTCTACCAAAATCAAAGGTTTCAAATATTGACCTGGGCATGTTTGTTGCCTCGAGGACCTGTCTTACTTAGTTGTGAGATCCTCATTACCAGAAAGTCAGTGTCAAGGTAATGAACTTTTTTAGTGAGAGTAATCCATCTACCAAGCTACAAAAAGGAGTAGGACCTGTATCTGAACGGTGTTTTCACACTGATAAAAATCACAGATCCTTGAAGAATTGAAGGAAACATGAACAGGGGTCACAATTGTCATTACCAATTCAATCTGATAGGCAAAAGTCTTGATGCAGCGCAAACACCTCAACGTGTTGGGTGTAGAGAGGATGTGATTCTAGAAGCAAGTATTCACCAAGTCAGCCCTGTGCCATAGTACTCCCTACTATTCTCTCGAGCCAGGCCAGTCCTTCCCACCAACATCTCTTGGTCATCAGAAAGGTCTCAAAAAGGGCCATCTAAAATTTTCCACAAGAGGCTTTTGCCATCATCGGCCACAGTACCAAGGAAGTATGAGTGTATGTAGTAGGTCTTCCCAAAATGGAAGCCAGCACTCACGATGCCTCCATTTGAAGAGCAGAAGTCCTCAACCAATTTTAGGAGCTTTTCCATGGCACTTTCCTCCTTAATGAGTGCCATCAAATTCAGAGACTTCATGGTGGCTTTGATCTCCTCCACGGGTCTTTCCAACTTTTGCGCAACCTGGAGAAGAGACGCGTCATCCACCCCAAAAACATTTCGATAGTGTTTCAAATGTTTATCCAATGGAACTAAGTCATTAATAGTGAAGCCTCTTAATGGAACAGTAGCCACAGCACCATTCTTCAAGGCCTCCAGCCAGATCCTTTCTTGTAGGGCAGCCTTCTTCCTCTCAATGGCAGCCTCAGAAGAAACAGGGAGGGCCAGCAAAAATGTGTGGCGTTTGTGAGCTGGGAGATCCTTTAACAGCATTTCCTCCAGCTTTGGGAAGTCATAATCAGACATATCAAAGTTAGACATTAAGAAGGCTCGTGCTTCACTCAAAATAGAGGTTTTGCAGACAGTCATCTCTCATTCTCTGCAGAATTCTCTCCTTAGAAAAAGACTTGGGTTTGGACTTCCTTTCGTTATACAAATCCACATCTACCATGGTTCTGACAATGTAAAATTTCTTTTTCCTTTCTTTTATCTCCTGGACCAGTTTTACATCATTGGTTGTGAATCTTGAAACTGAAAGGATGATGAAGAAATCATACTGGTCGAACTGCACTTGAGTCAGACAATTGTTGGGATGGAAATCAGGGGTCCTGATGCCCGGCAAGTCCCATAGCTTTACATTAGGATATTTAGGGTGCTTGTAAGGAGTGGCCTTCATGGTGGTCTCTACTACCCCAGTGCTTGCAGAGTCCTTTTCTTCGTGCCCAATTCATCGAAGGGCATTGATGAAAGTGGATTTCCCAGACCCAGACTCCCCTGTCACAGCAATGCTCAAGGGGACATTTTCTGTTGCTTCCAGTGTCTCCTGGATCCTGGAAGCCACCTCCTCTAGTCTTCCCTCCTGCAAGGCTGACTGGATCCAGGTAATAGTATCTTTGGGCAAGAGGCCACCATATGTATTGGTTACCATTCTATAGTATGGCATAAAGTTGGAGGCTAACCTCTGAAGATTCTCAACACTGAGGTCAATACCCAAAACCTTCATGATGCCAAATCATAAAAGGACCTGAGAGGGCAAGAAAAATAGGAGATTAGTTCCATGATGTCATTGTGGAAGGATTTTTAATGTTAGATGTGAGAAAAATCATTGGATTAGAATCCACCATGCCCCTAGGAAAACTCCTCATTAGGAAACAACGAGATTGCATCAGCTTTGATACCTATACTTCATCAGCACCTTAGGACCTCTTGTCCTTCTGATTGGAAGACTGAAGGCCTCCATTTAAAGAGAGCTCCCAGGACAACCATCTCTTCATTTCTCAACACTACGCGCTCCTTGAACCAGACTCCATCCTGCTCTTCTGCTGAATCCTTTCTTCCCCAGCCACCCCGCTCTCAAACTTTTTCAGCTTTATGTGTGTGTGTGTGTGTGTGTGTGTGTGCGTGCCCACACACGTGTGTTGTTGTTGTTGTTGTTGTTGTTATCTTTCATTAAATTGTAAGCTCCTTGAAGGCAGGGACTGTCTTTTTCATATTTGTATCCCCAGTGCTTAGCCAGTGCCTGACGCATAGTAATCACTTAATAAATGTTTGCTGACTGAATGACTAGCAGTCAGCACATCTGAGTTTTATTAATGATTCTGGGTCTTTGGGAAGGGTCTTGGCCTCTTTGAGCCTCAGTTGCCTCATCTGTGAAATGACATGGTCATATTAGACACTCTTTAAGGTCACATATAGTTCAAAACAATGTTGCAAATAACACTGGACATAATTCTGTCTTCACTCTGGTTCCAGGACTAAAGAGTCTTCACCACCAGAGAACCAAAACTTAACCCTTCAGTTACTGAAATTAGTTACACATCTCCATTGTATTTATAGAATTTCACACTTGGAAGGGGCCTCAATGACCTTCTCATCTGACTTCTATTGACCTTGGGTCCCAAGATAACATCAAGGCATCAATGACTCGTTTTTCTTCATGGACATGAATCCTATAACATACCTGAATAACCCTAACCCTAAATGCACACTCTAACCCTAACCCTAACCATTATTTACAACAGACCCAACAAGTGTTTACCCAAACTTCTTTTCCCTTTCCTTCAGCATATTAATGCTGAGCTTAGTAAGGACACATGATCAACTTAGCCCACTGCAATTCAGGATTCCTGAGCTCAAGAGATTCTCCAGCCGCAGCCTCCCTTCCTGTGGGGATTATAAGTGGGCAAGACATATGTGACCCTGGGCAAGTCACTTCACCTCTGGTTGCCTCAGATTCCTCACATGTAAAATATGGATAATAATAGCACCTAACTCCCAGGGTTGTGGTGAGGATCAAGTGAGATAATTACAAAGTGCTTAGAATGATGCCTGGCACATAATGGATACTCTACAGATGTTAATAAAAATATTATTATCCCCATTCTCCACCATGAACCTTGTGTGCTTTGGTGGGAGAATGTGACTCAGATTTATGGCTGGATTGTCATATTTTGATCATTCTTATTTTTGGCTTCTATTGAATAAATGTTATAATGATTCCTGCTTTTGTCTTGATGGAAGTGAATTTCATGCCAATGGGAAGTACACTGGTGGGGTCTCATAAGCTAGAGTGTCAAGAATAGGAGTGAATCTTCCTTTATCCTCCACCATATTAACCCTCTCGTATGATGCACCAAGGTTATCCCTGAGATTCTGAGAGAAAGAGAGGTTGAGTTGTAGTCATATTTTCATAGCCCCGGCCAGTCCTCCCACTCTGGGAATATGAGGATAGGCTGGAGTGAGTAAATCAGCCCCACTTGAGAGAGACAGAGACAGAGACAGAGACAGGGACAGAAAATGACAGAGAGTGCCACTGCCCGGCTGTGAGTCTGAGACCACTCTCAGGCCACATTTGTATGAAGGCGTAGATGCCATATTTTTTTACATTCGTATCTGACAGGAAACAAAAAAGGCATAACTAAAACATTGGCTGATTGAACTGAGATCAAGAAAGTTCACAGCAAGCTACAATAATAGATCAATTCAAATAAACTGAAATTTAATAGACACAGACGTAAAGTCACACACGATTTCCGAAAATCATCTATATAAAAACCAGAGATGGCACATAGCAAGACAACAGGCTATATAAGGGGAAGAAGAAGGCTCTTAGGTGTTTCAACCATCTTCAAGCACAATATAAATCAGCCATGAATGGAAACCATTTAGCCAATTCCTATCGGTGCATAGCATTGTAGTAGGCAATGGGAGGGAGAAAAAGGCTAGGTAAAACTGAGTCTCTAACCTCATGGTGTTCACAGTATAGGAGCAGTATAAAATATAGAGCAGATAACTCTAAAATAGAATCATAAGTGATAAGGCCATTGAAGTGTTGCAATATAAAATGTCTTGTGAACTTTTTGATATTAGCCAATGCAATCTTATGATAAATTCATGATAACATAGTGTCCCCAGCGAGACAGGTGATAATCCTACCCTGCTCAGGTCACATTTTGAAAACTGTCTACACCGAAGGTTGCCACATTTCAGCTTCCCTCCCCTGCTCTATCCAGTCCACCACATAGCTAGGGACATAGAAGGGGGAGGGGACGAAAAGTAAAGAGATACAGAGATAGGAAACAATTTTAAAAGCTGACCAGTGGCACAAAGACGTGTGTGTCATATTGTACCAGCTCCTATCGTTTTCTTTTCTCCTCCCATGAATTGGTTCTGAGAAACTTGATCACTGGATTTGAAATGGAGTTCAAAGGCAAGAGACGGGGAAGAGAAAAAGAAGGGTTAAGGAAGGGGAAGTGGGAACAGAAAAAGGAAAAGAAGAGGAAGAGAAGAGGAAAAAGAAGAGGAAGGGGAAAAACAGGAAGGTGGGAAGCCAAAGGAGAGAAAGGAGAGGAAGAGATGGATGTAAAGAGAAGAGGAAAAGTGGTCTTCTCCATATTATATGTGCCTTTGCATTTCTGAATCATTGGATCATAGAATTGCAGTGCTGAAAAGAACTTCAGAGGTCACATTCCCTCTCCACCATACCTAGCATATTCATACCCAGTCTATTTCCAGATCCGAAGGAATGGGGAACTCATCACTCCTTGGGCTGCCCATACTTAAATTTTAAAGTTTGTAAAATGCTTCATATGTTATCGCATTTGGTCCTTACAACAATCCTTTAAGACAAGTGCAGTTGTTAGTCTCATTTACAAACAAAAATGAGGCTCAAAGCAATTATATGACTTGGCTTGGATGACATAGCTAGTTAGTGCCTGAAGCAGGATTTGAACTCAGGTCTTCCTGACTTCAAGTCAAACACTCTATCCCAGGGGTGTTACAAACTTTAAAATTCTATGCAAGTAGTAATAGTAGTAGTGGTGGTGGTGGTGGTAGGGATTATAGTGGTGGTGGTGGTGGTAGGGATTATAGTAGTGGTGGTGGTGGTGGTGGTGGTAGCAGTAGTAGTAGTAGTAGTAGTAGTAGTAGTGGTAGTGGTAGTAGTAGTAGTAGTAGAAGTAGTAGTAGTAGAAGTAATATCTCCACATCTGTGGCTCTGATACACTTTCCCACCTGACCACTCTCTATCAATTTTATATTGTTGAAATTAGTCAAGTGGTCATATGCTGTTGTCCTCTCCTTCCTTTATATATGCAGAGGTTTATGGGTACAGAACACTACACATGACACCACACATTTAAAAAGTATACAACTTAGTTTTACTGAACTTTGTTTCCCTTCCCTCTCTTTGATTCTCCATTACAAAGTATGGCTCTCTGGGAGGAGAAGTGGGAAGGGCTACATTGTGAAATGTGGATCATATCAAAACAATAGTTATCAATAAAAGTTACTATTAAAAGAAATTATATACCTTTGGAAGAACAAAGTAAGGACGATATCAAGACAACAAGGCAAAGCAACAAGCATTTTTATTTATTTTTAGCATTTAAAATTCTCTTTGAGTTGCAAATTCCCTCCCTCCCTCTAGCCCTTCCTTCACCCATTAAGAAGGCAAACAATATGAGATCAACTATGCATGTCAAATCATGCACAATGTATTTCCACATTAGCCCTGTTGACAAAAAAGCAAGAAAAATAAAGCTACTGTAAAAATTCTACTTCAATTTCCACTCAGAGTTCACCTGTTCTCTCTAGAGGTGGATAGAAGTTTTCATCATTTCTAGAATTGTCTTGGATCATTGTCTTGGTCAAAGTAACTATCTTTCACAGTTGGCCATCATTACAATGTTGCTGTTACTGTGCATAGTGTTCTCCCGGTTCTGCTCACTTCACTCTGTATCAGTTTATATAATCTTTCCCAGGCTTTTCTGAAACTACCTCCCTCATTATTTCTGTTTTTAAAGTTTTATTTATTTATTCATTCTTTTATTTATTTTTAGTTTTCAACATCCACTTTTATAAGATTTCAAGTTCTAAATTTTCCCCTCTCCCTCCGCTACTCCCTCCCCAAGATGGCATGCAATCTGATATAGGCTATACATATATAATTATATTGAACATGTTTACACGTTAGTAATGTGAAGGAAGGATCAGAACAAAAGGGAAAAACCACAAAAAAGGAAAAAAATGAAAAAAAAAAAAGAGAACAACTAGCATGCTTCAATCTGCATATCTGCATTCAGACTCCGCAGTTCTTTCTCTGGATTTGACTAGCATTTTCCATCATGAGCCTTTTGGAATTGTCTTAGATCATTGCATTGCTGAGAAGAGTTAAGTCTAACAAAGTTGGTCATTGCATAATGTTGCTGTTACTGTATACAATGTTCTCTTGGTTCTGCTCACTTCACTCAGCATCAGTTCATGCAAGTGTTTCCAGGTTTTTCTGAAATCTGCCTGCTCACCATTTATTATGGAACAATAGTATTCAATTACATTCAGAAACCACAACTTGTTCAGTCATTCCCCAAATGATGGGCATCCCCTCAATTTCCAATTCTTCTGAGTCAAAGGGTATGCACAGTTTTATGG